AAGTGCGCGAGACATGAATTTAAATAGTATTTATTTACAGAGGTATATTATGTCACACTACGTACAGTGGGTACGGAAAGCATTCAGACCCCCTTAAATTTTTCACTCTTTGTTATATTGCAGCCATTTGCTAAAATCATTTAAGTTAATTTTTTTTCCTCATTAATGTACACACAGCACCCCATATTGACAGAAAAACACAGAATTGTTGACATTTTTGCAGATTTATTAAAAAAAGAAAAACTGAAATATCACACGGTCCTAAGTATTCAGACCCTTTGCCCACTGTATAAGGTTCCGAAGTTAAATAAACTTCAACGGAATAAAGTTGAATGGAATTGAATTGAAAAAGTTAAATAAACATTAATGTGTCCTTGCTGAAAAAAAAGTATTAACTTCTTTATATATATATATATATATATATATATATTAAAAAAATTTAAAAACTTTTGAATGGTAGTATATCAAAATTTAATACAAACATTTAAAACTTTTGAGAAAACCAGAGCTCCTGAAATATTATCATTACAAAGAGTAGACAGTTGTATTACAAAGTTGTAAATTCTTTATGCTTTATGTATTTGTTACGGCCCAAAAAAAACACTTGATTAAGGAACATTTTAATCAATAATTCTATTGACAAGATTAACACTGGTAGTCAAAGTGATTCTGTTTAAGACCGACTGACCAGAAACACTCTGTGTGAGTTGCATGTAACTCTCAGGTTAGGTAGGTGCCTTAATAAGGATCCGTTTTTCATTTCTTCTTCCTCTTTGTATCTGGTTGAGGCTGTGCTCTCAGTGCCCTTAAAACACAGTAGAGCTGGAGCTGTGTGGGATATGAATCACAGCTCGAATGCAACATCAGGCACTTTCACATGTTTACAATGCACCAGACCTGACCACTCATGAGAGAAACTACCCACACACTCCATTCAGCAGTGAATGCCATCTAACTTTGTAATGGACAGCATTGAATATATACTAGTAACTGAGCAGATGAGAAATCCTGAGTGGAAATATCAATGTTTCCTGGCCATTATGAACACAAAGAGAGAACATCTGAGGAATGAGGGCAGCTAATGTGACTAGCTGGGCATGTGAAGAGGAGCGGGATGCTTTCTCTGTGGCCAGGCATCCCAACCACATTTCCATTTACAACTACATAAATGTGCATGCAAAGAGATAAAACTTGGCCATACTGAAAGCCCTTTCAGTTTGTTCAGAATTCAGATCTGCATTTTTCAGCTTCTACTGGCATCTGACTGACCACTGAAAATCTCATAACCAACACTGAGTCTTTCTGAGAAATCCATTTCATTACACCAGCCAGGCATACAGGAGGGTGTGGGAGTACTGCACGGAAATGTCTCCAAACCAGGATGCTTTCTGCTCTCTTTAGACAATGCGAAACAGACTAGTATCTGTGTGGTTTACAGAAAGAGTGCACAAAGCAAGTTTGAGGACCTCTGCAAAAATCCTGAGATAAAATGACTGTTTCAATATTTTTTGAAGTTGGCACACATCGAGTCCCTTTAACTATTTTTTGTTTATTTTAACATAGAAATGCTATATAAAATTCGGGTTTTTAAATTACCACCAAGGCAATAGATACAGGAATAGATGTAATCCATCAAAATAGAGATACAAATAACATGAACACAACAAAGTGTAAGCAGATGTTTGAATGTTTAGTTCTCTCTTCTATCATAAATAATTAAACGGGGCTTTCATGTTGCGTGTGCTGAAGCTCCTCCGCGTGGGCGCGATCTCGCTTCTGAATTGCGAATAGCAAAAATGCATCATAGACAAATGTTTGAAAAACAGCTGGCAACTCTGGTGAGATAGAATTTGCAAGATAATGTATATATAGCAATAATAAATGTATGTGTGTTTTATTAATTTCTCCAGTACCGATAGCAGAACCGTTAACGTCAGAGCTTATCGATACTCCGGTCTTTCATAATTTAGCCCCGGGACCGATTAAATCCCGGGTTTCGGTACCCATCCCTAGTTATCACCCAATATTAGAGATTTAAATTAATTAACCAATATCAGATATTTAGTTGGCTGAATATTTAACTGTGGGTTATTGCTTCAATAATTCAAGACTAGTTCAATTTAGCATTACATTTAAATGGATTGCAATATCTTACGGCACCCGTTTAACCTTTTAAGAAGTTTTTAACTAATGCCACACACACAACTAATGTGTGTGTGTTCAGGCATAAAAAAGGCAGAGTTCAGCAAAAAAGTTTTTTTTTATTATTTAGCCTAACGTCATTCCAAACCTGTATGACTTTCTTTGATTTGTGAAACATAAAATACATTTTGAGAAATGTCTCAGTGTTTTTTCCCCTCTTTGGAATTCAATAGTCATCAAAACTGTCTAGTTACCACGATTCTTCAAAATATCGACAGAAAGCATAATCATAAAGTCATAAATTATGACATAAAAACACTTGAATGCCATGGTTCATCCAAAAATTTAACTTGTTATATATATATATATATATAAAAGGCTTATATCAGTACTTTACTAGTTATCAGCTATACCATTAAAATAATTATTGCCGTATCTGCATCTGTAAGAATTTTCAATAGGTGCATCCTTTTTTAAAGTCATCAGGAATAAAATGATTCAGTTCTGGAACCACTGCCCCATACTAAAAATACACTACCGTGGAATCTCAGAAGAGGATGAATCACATTCTAGTATGTTTACAAGCACATAATGTTCAAGAATTGCCCATTTTCTAAGTTTTGCTAAATACCAACAGCAGAGTGCCGAGAAAAATATGCTAAGGGCCCCTCTGACCTTACTATATGTGTCAGCGCACTCTCTCTCGTGCACATTATCGCACACACATACTATCAGGAGATTCACACTTCCTAACTCCTGACCCAGCTGGAAACACATCCTGCTTGACCTCAGCATCACCTCACAGCATGTCCCGGCAACAGTTTGTACACTGCCTCAGTCACATGACACAAAACTGCAGTCTGTTAAAAATGAAGAACATCCATTAAAGCTAAAATGGTTTGTCAGTACATAGCACTCCAACAAAACCAGGACATTTGGCTAAGGTAGAGTAAATTGGCATCATGAAACTTCCTTACTAAGCTTTCACTATACTAGAAAGGAAAAGAAGGTGTAGAGACATGAGCACCACTAAATAGTTAGTGCATCAATTAAACTCCAGTATACTACTGAAAGAGCATTGCTGACCTAATGTCACAGCTTTGGCATGGGTTGAGGAGATGTCATGGGAGGAGCTTGATGCCCTCAATATGAGGCTACATGAGAACGGCCGAACAGTTGGGGGATGAACCAGATCAGAAAAGCAGAGCCAGCCACACAGCTGAGAGATTAGAAAACAAGAGCACTCTAGGACTTGGCAGACATCTAAGAGAAACAAGACGGGCTTTTCTGAGACTGTGTGTGTTTGAGCAAGAGAGCTCGTATGGATCACAGTTTCCCAAATTACCCAAAGAACATTTAAATTTATTTTGTATTTGCACTTAATTATGTCCAATCAGAGCATTCCAGTGCTGATTTAGTCTAACACCAATGGGACTTTCAGAAAAAAACAGCTTTCTGTGCGCAACATGGTAACAAGCAAAGCTTAATGCTTTGGCTTATTTGGGGATAATTTTCATAGGCGGTTAAAGTCATAATGAAACAGAAGTAGAAACAAATATTTTGTTCTGTATTATCGGATTATCTAAGCGGATTATTAAAAAAATAATAATAATAATAATAAAATAGAGCCGGGACTTGATTCTATCCATTAGTTGTTGATTGGATTTTGACATGTAGACGGTGCACTAAAAATTAATGCAATGTTGCAGTAGACTGTGGAAGGGCAGGGTTTAAGTGGACTATATTAGTGGAGAAGCTCTGCAAATGTGACCTGAGAGAAGTTTGAGTTATGACACTCTAATTAAACATCACACGATTCAAAAAAGAAAAGAAAAAAAGGAAACATATGTACAGATGAATTGTTCACAATAAAATCTATAACAATCTAAAACATGAACTCAATACTAACATTTTGCTTACTAAAATGTTGTATAAAAGCAATACCAAACTTGCCATTGTGCTGATGGTCTGAATATTAGCATGACTGTAAAGATCTGCAGTTGAATCACATCAGCACTTCTGTTATTAAATTTATTTCTAATTTATTAAATATATTAAATTCCTTTCCTTTTTATCTTTATTTTATCATATGTTCCTAAATTATGGATTATTAATTTTATCATTTCATTTTATCATTTTAAAACACGCCAAATTTCCATTGTATGAACATGTGCAAACTAAACCTACCTTTAGGGATAGTTATGTCATATTTCCAGACAAATTATTATTTTGGGAAATAAGTGACCAGTATGCAAACCCTTGAATTTAGAGATTTGCAGCAAACAACACTGTCAAATACTGTAACGTACGCATGGCTAAGCACTTGACATCTATCACAGAAATGAACTTTTCGCACATATTTCGATCGCTATGGGAAATATCTAACGTCAATCACATAACAGCATATCACGTATACATTGAGAGTTCCAGAACAAAATTGGCTGCAAATCCGAGTGCAATTCACGTTGAAAGAAAATGATACAAATCACTAAGGGCATTAAACTCTCAAATAACACACTGTATCTGGCATTATCACACCAGCATGACTGTCAATGAGTAGTACTGCATGACGACAACAAAAGCTACAAGACTCGGCCAACAGCGAAGAATCGTCGTGTTTTATAGCGCAAGAATAAATGAAATAACGTTACCTCGCTTAGTAGTGTATTGAAATCTACCGTCATGTAACAATATGCCAAGAAACCGAAATATGTTCCGAAGAGCTTAATTTGGCAACAAACGGGATTAAAAACAAAAGGTGACAACATGACCGAGACAAGCAGGCCAACAATCAGCTAACGCTCAGTTCGCTAAAGTGTCACATTAAGCAGCCCGAGCCAGACTTACAACAGACTTACCGACTAATTTGACGGCTGGGTGTGAAGTACTGAATTCAGTCGCGACTGGTATGGGTGGGTTTTACAGTTTAGTTCTCGTTTGAGTCCTCCAAAGGTCCTAGCTGCGAATGAACGAGATAAAAAGCCCTCCGTCGTGAGATTTTCTCCTCCCTTTAGCAACAGCCACAGCGCACAGCTGTCATCAAACAGGGACGCGCGCCATGCGCATGCGCACTTCAACCCTACGTAGACCATTTTTACTGCTAGTAACATACTATTCGCTACAAATAAGGGGGAGAACCTGCGTAGACCTGCAGCGTATGGAACCTTTTGAATGTGTTTTTGTTTTGTATTTACTATTTGTTTTCTGTATTTACGATGACTGTGTTCTTTCATCATTATATTTAACATTATATTTAACATTTAAGGATTAATCAAGTTAATTTCATTTTTGAACACTTGAAATTGGCAGAATCATTGCAGATGTTAAATTGATTTTACCAGCAGGTGTCGCTACCAGCATATGTCTGATTGAATAATCCTATGCTCTCTTTTATGGAATGCTGTGGAGAATACTTTGTGGAAAATTTAGTTGTAGGCTATTTTCAGTTTTGGTTTGTAAATCTTTCAGATATGACTGCCTTTCTGATGATGTTACAATAATAATATTATATTTGCATTCTTAAATATTGCAGAGGGATGTAGCCTACATGTGGCAAAAGATACGTCAAGGAAAAGGAAAACATTAGATCGATGTTTTATTATGCAGTAATCTGAATATGTATGACAGTATATATGGCTTTTGTTCTAGTTCTGTTGTTTTTTATTTTCTTGAGTGTGTTTTTGTTTTGTATTAAACCACTGTCTTAAACCAGTTGTGTGGGTTCACAGAGACTGTACTCTAGGCAATGCTTAATTATAAGAACTGTAAAAAATAATTTATTAAATTGTCCTGTGATTTAATCTGATATAGGGATTTTCTAGGCAAACTGTTGATAGTTACATTTAAATAGAAGCTTTGTACTTGAAATGCATCATTTAAAAAAATAATAAAAAATCCTACATGCATGCAATGAACACATTATAAGTTCTAAGTTCTATTATAAGCAGAACTGTAAGCAAATGTATACAAATTAATTACAATATAAATGAATGAAATTGTAGCATTATTTTGTTTTTTATGGACAATATTATTGCATATATAATTAATTATATCCTATGCATGTCAATAATGACATGCATAAATCAAATGTAAAAAAAAAAAGTCTGAATTAATTGACCATTTTTATTAAATCATCTTTTTGATTCAACCTCTAAAATCATAAACACAATAACCAAAATACAAAATAACATATTACCAATTACATTTGCAATCTTATTACAAATTGCACCTGCATTACTGTGCATTTGATTAATACAGTTGGACAGAACAAGTTAAAATACATAGTATCCTGAAAGATATATTTTTATTTAGTGATATTTATATTTCTATATTTATATTTATTCAATAACAAAAATCATTTTGTGCAATGCGATTGTGAAATTATAGCACCTAGGTGATAAAACTAGTATAAACAGATTGAGAAATTAACTTGTAGTTCATCCTGTATATTTTGTCATTATACATACTATTCGCCTTGATGTATCTTTTTTTTCTGAGAGTACTTTAGTAAGATTTTTCTTGGAGGTCTTAGTTTCATGGACAAATAACACAAAATAGCACAGAAGAGAACACTTCTGCTCCTCAGCTCTCTTTGCAGCTGTTCATATTGAACAATCTTATCTTGCGATCTCTATCGTTGATTCTGAAAGTTGGTTCCTCCCCTGATGGCATTCTAAAGATCTTTTCCAATGAACAATAGTGTGTGCTTGGATGGCAGACCTCACTAGCATGTTGGCTTACCAATGCGAGTCCTGCTTTGCAAAGCCTTCTTGCCTTTCTGTGGAGGAGGTAGCGCAGGAGGCAACGGCCCAGGAGGATGAACTGTCGGCCTCGTCTCTCCTCAGCAACATCTGAGCCAGTCCCCCTAGCTCCCCCGTAGTTCGCACCCTGATCTGAGCGCCGTTGCAGGTGGCGGTCTCAGCCCCACAGCAGCTCTGAATTGGAGCGAGGCCCCAGGGACAGAGGTAGGCAAGTTTTAGGGGTGATAGTGGTCATTGTGCGGTTGAGCACTCGTCTTCTAGATGTTCCCAGAGGAGGCATGCTGGGAGGTCTAATGCTTCTTGGTCTCCATGGATTCGACTGTGTTTTTTCTTGGAAATGCAGAGGGAGTTGTGCGAGCCAGCGCTTGCATTCTCATTAAGTTAGTCAGGCGGGTCTCCAGGCCACAGAGCGCCTGGTCTGTGTAGCTTTGCATATCACGGCGAAGCTGAGCAAACTCCTCTCTCAAATCCTTCTTTAATGACTCCAAGTTCAACAATATCTCCTCCAACAAGGCTACACATAACTCTTCTCCTCTTTCCTTACTATTTTCTCCCTTTTCTATCATCTGCTCTTCTACAGTCTCTTTCTGGGCCGCCTGATCCACTGTGTTCTCCTCAGATGAGCTGAACGTGGGTGCAGGTTCTTCTTGTTCTTTCTTGCTCTTTAGTTCCCTGGTGATTTGGTTTACAACATCCACTATGCCCATGCGCTGACCATCCAAACCGGCCTGCGCCCTGATCTGACTCCTCACCAAAGAGAAGACTGAATGGACTCTAGCCTGCTTTTCTTTTTCTGTAACTGCCTCAGCTGTTTCATTCTTCTCCTCCATTTCTTCATGAACATCATGTTCCTCAGCTTCAACCTGCTTGTTTATTTCCTCCTTTTCTTTGTCATCTCTGTTTCTCCTCTTTTGCAACCACTTCTCCAGGATGGCTGGGTTTTCTTCTGTCTGCTCATTCATGGTGCTCGACTCTATTTGTTCCATTTTCTTTACTTTTCTTCGCACCTCATGCTTGTTTTATACTCTTTTTATAGCTCAACTCATGGCTTATTATCTCATTGTTTCTTCGTTCTCCTCTGATCTCTCTTATGACTTGTGTTGAGATCATGTCGAGCTAAGAGAGACCAACAGTGCTATATTTCCCACAAGAACTGTAGCTGTCCAATCAGCATTGGCTACAGACTCACTCACTGTTCTCTGGGGAATCATACCTCATGTGCATTAACACCTTTCCCCTAAACGCTCACCTATGCTCATTTAAATTTCAGATATTGCCTGTCCACTGTATGTGTAAGGTGAAATACCTGCGCTAACTATCTATATTCCTGTGGCTTTGGATAAAAGTGTCTGCTAAATAGGGTAATGTAAATGCAAATAATTATATATAAGTTACATCACACCTGACATAACTGTCGTGTGTATCGACTTTGTTCTCAGCATCATCTAAAACACTGTTAATGAAGTCCCCAGTGGGTTAAAAGCATTCTGCAAACTATTCAAAATGGGGGAGTGGGGCTGCAACAGTAGGCTACTATATTTTTTAGTTGGAAGGGGGGTGACAGGGAGGAGTTTGAATTTTAGCCGTCAGAATGACACTGCAGTTCTTTCGAATCATTTACATTAATAGTTACCATATTGAAATGATATCACACGAATATCTATACATTAGCTAATTTTGAGGTAAAACGTTATAATAATAATTTAAGTCAATAAATCACTAATTAATTAACGGTCTAATGAAGTTGTATTGTACATTCAAATAGAAATGCAAACTATTTAAAATAAACTACTAGAATGAAAATATAGTTCCAGGTGGAATTAAAGTTATTATTATTATGCAATGTTGACAATTTGGACATTAATATATAAGTTTAATTTAAAGTTGATTTTACCTCAAAGAGAAAAAAAATTAGAACCGCTGCATACTCACACGGAAAACTACAAGCGCAACTCAACTAGCCAACAAGGTTGAAGGAACCGTGTGCCTCCTCTTTTGCATTAAGACAAACAACCTCACAAAACGTTAAAAAAAACAAACAAAAAAAAAACGCATCATGTTTTATAAAAACAGACAGAAATCTGAAGATCGATTATTCCGGGCTATATTTGACTGGTTTTGTATTTTTAGAGTTATACTAGCCTTATAGCCTACATGGTCTTAGGCTACTCCTTACAGACTGCAGATATTGAAAAAAAAAACAATAATTATATATTAAACTATATTATTAAACTAGAATGCTATATTATATATTATAATTGTATACTAAACTGTTATAGTAAAATAGTCGTTTATATCATCAGTAGAGCATCTTGATTGCTGCACTCCTCCTCTCCGGAGCTCCGGTGGGCGGAGTCTCACATCCTACAAATTCACATCTGCAGCATCTGCACTCACTTCTCCTCATTTCTGCCACTGACCCAAGAAGAAGCTACCTTCAAAAACCACTAAAAGATGGTAAGACACTTAATTTTAAGACAAATTAAGATTGTGATGCCTTTGAATTGCAAACATGACTGTCCAAACTATTTAAACATGCTTAAAAGTATTGTTTATTTTTCTCTAGACATCCTACACTGACAAAGGTGAAAAGGTAGGTCATTATTTTTAATAACTTGTCCCCTTTCTTATAATATACTAATATTTTACTGCCACCTGCATTTCTAACTTTTCTTGTGATTCTTATTAAAACTTGTAGGCAACATCATTACACTATTCAGACTAGTCTGTAGATTTATTCTGCTAAAAGACTATTTATTGGAATAGAAAATATCCAACAATTAAGTCATTGCTGTAATTGTTTTTATATGTCAACAGCACGAGCAGGGCAGGTTTGTCTGCTTTGACCACATCACTTTCTGGGTTGGAAATGCCAAACAGGTAATTCTTCAACAAAATGTGTTTGTAGATTTAGCTTGTTTCTGAATATTAGAGGAGGTGTCCTGTAGGGAGATGCTATTGGCTCTTTTTAGGGGTGGGAGAAATAAGCATGCAGCTGCAGAAACCACCATCCTCCACTCACTAATTTGTTCCATATTGAGACTTTTGGGGCACTCGCCAGTAGATGGTGCCATTTCCATATACGTGTAGAAAAAGTTACATACGTTTATATACTGTAGCTTCACTTTGAAGTATCAGTTTGCGAATAGTTTGTCATCATTATATGAACGTTCTAAATGTAAAATATATAGATACAGATAATGAATTTTCTCAAATCTCCCCATCTTGTCATTCTCTTTGTGTTCCTCTCTGTGATGTTCTGCATCCCAGGCAGCATCT